ATGCTTATCTGCTACTCTGCTAAAGAAGGCTAATTCCTAATAGTTTTAACTTGAATTATTTTCCCAAACAAGGGTTAACACCCTGGGGGAAGTCTAATTTCTAACATAAGAGAGCTATCCAAGGTGCTGAACCCATTTTTGTGGGTCTGGAGCATCTGGCACCTTGGATAGGTGACTGGTAGGAAGAGGAAGGGACAAGCATTCTAATAATTGAGAAGACTTATATGCTAAGTGGGAGCCAGAACTACTAGTATAACTTATGGATCCCAGAATATATAAGAGGCATTTAACTGAAGCTACTTGTCCTGGACCAAACAGGACCTTAAATAGGACCCCACTGTTTCCATCAGGAGAGCCAGTATGGCATTGTGGTTTGAGCATTGGATTACAACTCTGGAGACCAGAATTTGATTCCCTGAATAGCCATGAAACCCACTGGTGACCTTAGGCAAGTCACACACTCTCAGCCTCAGCAGAACGAAGTGGCAAACCTCCTCTGAATGAATCTTGCCAAGAAAATCCCATCCTCAGTTTGCCTTAGGGTTGCCATAAGTTGGAAATGACTTGAAGGAACACATCAACAACAAGCTTCCATCATAATTTGCAACGCCCTCCTCTACTTCATATCCCTTCTTGTGCATCTGTAAAGCAGCCATGGAGAGCTGGGAAACTCTCTGGAGCAGATTTTAGGGAGCACAGGGATTGAAGTGTGGAAAGGCAGTTGCTATTTCTGGCAGAGTCAGGGGGATTCAACTTAAGCACCCCATTGGATCCTGGCCCCACTCTTCAGCATGCTAAGAAATGGTAGTAGATGCCAGAGAAAGGAAATGGTGTCTAAAGATTTTTTGTCATTCCCAGATCATTAAAATGCACATATGTATTGTCTGGCTACAAAGGCAAGTACAGAGACAGAAGGATCTCCCTCAAAGGGAACTAAAAGAAGCCAAATGACACCAGTCAATTCACCAAATAAGCTGGCAGGGTGTATATATGCGTTTGGAGAAAAAAAAGAGGGAGTAGTTGAAATGAGAGAGAAATGAAATGCCAAACAAAAATATAGACTGTGACAATTATGGTAACATTTCAATGGATGTAAGATGCACAGATGTGTAGAGGCACAACAACTTCCAATGGGGGTCTGGCTTTGTGTTTTGCTTGCAGAGGATCCCAGATAGGCCTAGAAACAAGCATCTATCTGAAATCCTGGAGTGGTCTTGCCAGTCTGTGTAGAATGTACAGAACAAGATCAGGTGGCTGCTGGTCAATCTGTTGCCACAGCAATGGTGAATCCACACTCCGTTTCCATTCCTCCTGTAGCTGCTCCAAGTTATATGAGATTTCTATAGATTGTTCAAGCTTCAGCGAGGAGTAGGATCCAGTCCTTGCATGTCTCTTCTACAACCTAGAGTAGCTGTGGGATGAGCAGGCTACTCTGCTCTACTGCTGACTGCTAGGAAGAGGAAGGGACAAACATTCTAATAATTGGGAAGACTTAGATCCTGCTCCTGTGCTAATAGACCTACTGGGTGCCCATTGAACTAGATGGAATCATAGTTTGATGCAGTATAAGTCACCTTCCTAATGTCCCATTCATAAAGCAGTCTTAATGACTCGAGCATGTGGACAGTGGCAAGCCCCACAGTGCTCACAACAATAAGACAAAGGTTTACCCTTCAATGTGATTGTCTAGTTGTGTCCGACTGTAGGGGTGGTGCTCATCTCCATTACTAACCTGAGGGAGCCAGCATTGTCAAAGATGACTCAATGGTCATGTGCCCAGCAAGACTAAATGCTGAGATGCATGGAATGCTGTTAACTTCCTACCAAAGTGGTACCTATTTATCTATTATTTGAACTTATACATGCTTTTGAACTGCTAGGTTGGCAGAAGCTGGGACTAATGATGAGAGCTCACTCCATCATGCGGAGTTTGGGTCTTGAACTGCCAACCTGTGACCTTGCAGGTGTCAGAGTCAGAGTCTTAGGGCCTCTACAGACAGGGCCTTTGGGCTGTCCTGGAAGCAGGGATGGGGAGGGGCACGCCGCACGCTGACCACCTCAACCCCTCCCAGAAGACGTCCTGATGCTGCGCACCGTTACATACAGTGCACGGCGTCAGGACATCCTTCCAATGAAGCCTTTTGATGCGCTGCGCTGGAAGGGGTGCCAAAGAGCCTTTCCAGGCCAGCAAAAGGGAGCATCGAGGCCGCGCTGTCCGGCAGCCTCGGCCTCAATCCTCTGCTTCCCAGGGCGGCCCAGGGCCGCCCATCTGCATCCCCCCTTAATTACTAATCCACCTCATCCCAACTCAGAACAATAACAAAACAAAATATAAGGATAGGTTTGTACTCCCTCTTGAATGTGGATGTAACCAAATAATGTTGCTCATTCGAAATGTTGAGGATGGACAGGTGAGCTCTCCAGTGACCCTTTCAAACAGCACAGTTATAGCTCTATGATTCCACTTTATCTGCTACAGCTGCATCTTATTGAATCCCTGGATTTGTAGTTTGGTCAGAGGCACCAGAGGAGCTCCCTGAATTAGAATTATCAATGCCCCTCCCTCCACTGCCAGTCCCAGGATCCCACAAAATGCTGACATGGCACTTGAAGTGGAATCATGGCATGATAATTCTATAGTGTGAATGGGCTCCTGATTGGCTGTGTCATGATTTCGGGGAGAAGGAGTGCCATAGGATGGGCTCCAGGTACAATGCTAGATTCAATATGTAAATCTATAACTTAAGAGGAAGGAATTGTTGTACACTGAGGCAGATCCTCAGTGCTTCTGGCCTCATCCTGTCTGCTTTGGCTGGTAGGCAGAGGTCTTCCCCAGACTGACTACTACTGGTATTCTTTGTATTAAGAGCAGATTCAAACTAAGGGATCTTATGCATGCAAAAGCATGCCCTCCCCCAAATGACTACTTTCTCTGCAAATGTTTTGAGTGCTGGAAGACTAAAGTGGGAAATGTTGCTTCTTAGGATGACAACTGCCAGAATTCCTCATCCAGCATAACCATGCTGGTTGGACGATTCTTGAAGCCATAATCTAAACAAGTAACTTTTTCAAGCTCTGATGGAAGCAGAGACTGAGCAGATACCCTTCCGGATGATTCTCAGTTCCAGCCTCTGATTCTTTCTTTGGCATCTGAGCACTCCCTGTTTGCTCTCCTAGCTTCTCTCTTCTTCCTTGACTTGTAAGTGTGCAATTAAAGCAATTTGCACTGAGACACCATAAAACTCCAGTGCTCTTTTCTTGGAAGAAAAATAACCCCAGAAAGCCTCTCCCTCTCTACACACCCCACTGCTTTTAGAAGAGGAAGGGGGATTCGGTATCATTTATTAACACCGCAGGGTAGATCGCCCAAATAGGGTCTTCGCAAATTGTCTCAAGTGCCTTGACAGATCAAAATTAAGTGGGCCGCTGCACGATGGGGGGAAAATTGAATTTACTTTTAAGTGTTAACTAAAGGATATATCCACTCTCTCCACTGCCCTGTCTACCTTGCTAATGCTTGTGCAAAAGTCATGCTGTTAATGAAATAGCTGATTTAAACAAAGCCGAAGTATTTTTAGCACAATAACCAAAACCATTCATGATCTCTAATTATGCAAACTGTGAGCAAGAAGATGCTAGTCTTGCATTAGCTGGGGGCTTGACTCCAATTCCAATTTGTTCCTTTTTTTCTGCAGCAGAAAGCATTTCTTTTTGTAGTTTTATCGCATTGGTCTGGCTCAGAGCCTCAGGCAAATAACAGTCCAGGTCACCAAGGAGTAGTTCTGCTGAGGCGGTACACTGCAGTTAGGTAGTGCAGCAGGATAATGCATTGTAATGTCAATTACTGTGATTTGCTGCTCTGTGATTCACAGATATGATTGCATCTAATTTCAGGAATAAGTGGAGCCGTCTGCTCTTTTGTATTTATTCAGAAGCTGTTCACTGGTACTCAAATGATGGGTGTCTTTGCCACCTTAAAAACATTTGAAGGGGCCACTCTGTGATCTAGCAGGAAATGGTTCCAGCGTGCCTCCATAGCATGAGTATCCCTTTGGTCCTTGTGGTGTCAAGAGCAAAAACATCCCCCTGTCCCCAATATCCACTTATGGAGAAGGAACTCGCTGCTGGAGAGTGCCTCCTATGGTTCTTGGCAAATTTGCCAATTCTGGAATGGGCAATTTGGGATTTTTGTTTTCCTCAGACAACTGATTTCCAAATCCAGACAGTTGTTGTCATTCACCTTCAAGCCGTTTCTGACTCAATGTGATCTGAAGGTGAACCTAGCACAGGGTTTCCTTGGTCAGATTTGTTCAGAAAGGATTTGCCTATGCTTTCCTCTGAGGCTGAGCCTCTGTGGGTTTTCAGGGCTGTGGGTTTTCAGGAAGTCAAACCCTGGTCTCTCAGAGTCCTGGGACAATATCATACTATATTGTTACAGCACTATTATTCCACTTTAACTGTTATGGCTGCCTCCTGTGGAATCCTGGGATTTGCAGTTTAGGGAAAGGCATTTAGAATTCTCATCCAAAAAGCACTTAGATCTCACTAAAATATAAATCCCAGAATTCCACAAGAGGCAGCCATGGCAGTTAAACTGGAATAATAGCGCTTTAACAATGTAGTGTTATATCTGTGCTATCTCAACACTCAGATTACTACACTACATCAACATTCACAGAGAAGCAATCTCAAGTCATCTCAGACATCTCTGAGCTAAGCCTGTTTTCTGATAACACTAAGTACTTTGGGGGTGTTTTCAGATGGTTTTTGAAAAGTTCATTTTAACTCCTTGATAATAAATTTTTAAAAGGAATTTTCAATTGCATTCTTCTACGAAACACTGTAAAGAAAATGAAATGTGGTGGGCAGCTTCATTTATATACCGCTTCATACCGCACTATGGGGTGTCTAAACAGTTTACAACTGTAAGCTCATTGCCCCCCAACAGTTGGGTACTCATTTTAGCGACCTTGGAAGGATGCAGGCCTTAGTCAAGCCTGAGCCCTGGCTAGTATTGAACTCGCAACCTTGTGGTCCATGAGTGAGTGGCTGCAAGACAGGCATTCAACCACTGTGCCACCAGGGCTCCTCTTCTAAATACTACTCCACTACATATTAGGCTAATTGCATGATCACAAGGCATCTTGTTTTTAAAATAACAATTTTGAATAAGAGAGAGATAGTTTTGTCAGAGCTTTAGTGGGAAGAAAGAGAGAAGAGAGGCCAAGCAGAAGCTTGCTTACTTTCTGTGTGTCACCATGCTGGCAAAAATGGCATTGTTTTCCAATTTGCTTCCAAGGTCTATTTGAAGTGCTTGTCTTGACCTACGTGTATACATGCCTTCAAGTTGCCTGTAGACATATGACAACCCCATGAATTTCATAAGGTTTTCTCAGGGAAGGAACGCTCGAAGGTGGTTTTGCCAGTTCCTTCCTCTGAAATATATCCTGCAGCACCTTGTCTCCAAGTACTAACCAGGGCTGATCCTGCTTAGCCTCTAAGATCAAATCGTATCTGTGATTCCCAAATTTTGGTCCTCCAAGTGTTTTGAACTTCAGCTTCCAGCCAGCTTGGTCAACAGTCAGGAATTGTGGGCACTAAAGTCCAAAACATCTGGGAGAACCAAAGTCTGGGAATTGCTGCTTTTAGTGTATTTAGGCCTTGGCTTGACCTTTGTTGTTGTGTTCCTTCTAGTTGTTTCTGATTTAAGGTGACCCGAAGGCAAACATATCACAGGATTTTCCTGGCTGAATTTGTTCAGAGAGGGATTGCCTTTGCCTTCCTCTGAGGCCGAGAGAGTGTGGCTTGCCCATAGTCACCCAGTCGGCTTCTATTGCTGACCAGGTATTCAAACCCTTGTCTCCATTATACCACACTGTCTCTCAAACCTACAATGCCCATGCTGGCTTGACTTACAATGCCCTAAATGGCAAAAGGCCAGGATATTTGAAAGACTGCCTCCTCCCATATGAGCCCACTCAAAATTGGATATTTTCAGCAATGCTAGGTTGGTGGGCAAGTTTGACAGGGATTTCCTCTGTAGCAGCACCCCGACTGACCTTGGTATTCTCTCTCAAGGGAGGTCAAGCTGGCTTTATCTTTTTTGAGTTTCTGGTGGACAGCTAAAACTGTGTTGGCTTGCATAGCCTTTGGACCATAAAACCAGGAGTGGCTGGCAGCTCAAGCTGTCTGTGGTTTTTCTACTACTTTTAAGAAGCTGTTCTGGTCTGTTTTTAGCTGGCTTTATTTGTGCGTGTAATCATTTAAATGTTTTTTTATCTGCTGTAAACTGTGTTGGGGGCCCTGCTGAGCTGAGAGGCGATAACTAAATCTTTGAACAAACAAACACATTCCTATCCCAATCATTCAAGAGAAGATACTCATAGAGAACTCATGGTGCAGGGTTTGGGATACTTTATTAATGGAAAAATCAGCAGATAAAGCAAAGCGGTTGAAGAAGTCCATGTTAGATTATTCTTTTATACAGAAATAACTTCCATTCCTAGAATATGGTAATAAAAATTCCCAAATGATGATTCTACCAGTCTATCATCTAGAATTTTGGAACAATGTCTAATGGGAGATTTCAACAAGGTTTTGATTCTCAGCCATGTCCACCATAGTTGTTTTCATCTTTATAACCCAACCCATTAGCATCCATCTTTATATTTTATTTTTATTTCAAGTTGTTGATTTTTTTTTACTAATTTACTAATTTGTTCATTTTTTTACTATGTTTGTTTTATTAACCTATTTGTTATCAGTTATATTTGCAATATTTTATGTGAAATAAAGACTTTTTAACAAGAGAAACATTTAGATTTCAAGTAGGCAGTGTTATTTTTTGTATTACAACAAGCTATTGAGAACTGAAGGTTTTGAAAGAAATGGTTTTAAGGGGTTTTGTATTAATTTAATTGTGCTACTTTAAACTGCTGTTTATCATTTAACTGTATTTTTAATTTAATCATTTTACTTTAATCATAATGTTTAATCATATTAATTGTATTTTTAATTTAAAAAACAATAAATTCAATTCCATTTTAATGACGATCTTGTGTATGTTTTAACTATATTTTATTTTATTTTGCAAGCTATCTTCAGACCCACTTTAAGGGGGAAAGCAGGGTATCAACAAACCTCATCAGCAACATCAATACAATTTTTTCCCTTTTTCTTTTTTTGCAATCTCCACCTATAGTTTGTTTAATCTTCCAGAGAAAGCAATGGGGTTTTCTTGGACAAGGTGGTTTTGCCAGTTTCTTCCTCTGAAATATAGCCTACAGTACCTGGTAGTCATTGGTTTGTCTCCCATCCAAGTACTACCCAGGGCTAACCTTGCTTAGCTTCCAAGCTCAGATAGGATCTGGTGCTTTTAGAGTATTTAGTGCATTAAAGGCATGTTATACAGATAGAACATATAGATAATGATAGTTAAAAAAATATGCATATAGGATTTAAAACAAAGGGACATTCAGAAATAATATATTAGTGAATAATGTGTATAAGATGATTTGATCAGTATATAAAAAACTAATAGGTATAAATAAGCTCATCTGTATTAATAGTAGATAAGGACATCAAAATTAGAATAAGATTTCTTTTTTATGACAAAATACTAGAGGCATTAAGCTAATGTAAAATACCTTAGTTATAGCCTTGAAGAAGTCTATTTTAATTTTAGATAGGTGTGGGTATGAATGTAGGTGTATATGTTTTGTAAGTGTTATGTAAGTATTGTCTAATGTGAGATTTAATGTTGTCAATGAGTGTCAATTTGAAAGTATGAGGAATGTAATATTTGTGTTAGATTTTTACGAAACGAGAATCAATAAAGATAATTAATGGAAAAAGAAAAAAAGGGGGCATGTTAAGGCCTTAAACCACATGTAAGAAACCTGAGAGCCTGGGACCAAATCTGTCTATCCTGGGTTTCCCCAAATGAACGCAGCATATTCTTTGTGAATAACAGCAACAGCAACCATAACAGTCACAACAGCAATAACAATATTATCCCACCTTTTCCCCAGTCCAGGACTCAAAGTAGTTTACAAAATTTAGACCAAGATACAGCTAAAAATTTTACATCGTACAGAAATTAAAAATATAATTAAACTATCAGTATGATTAAAAGCAGTTAAAAGTACCGTATAACTATTAAGAAGGAGAATAAAAAGGTGCACAGCACAGCACATGAAAGGACCTTTCTCCCTAACAGTCAGCCCTCCAAAACTTGCTGAAACAAAAAAGTCTTCACCTATCTACGAAAGGATAGCAAGAAGGGCACTTGTTTAACCACCAATTGGTGGTTCCCTAGCTTTTGGATGTTTTTTCTTCATTTTAAAAATCTGAAATACCTCTCCTCAGGCTTACAGTAGTTATTGGCAGCAAGAGCTTTCAGACTAAATACAATGGTCTTTTTTGTGTGTCAAGTGTTTGCCTTTGGTCCCATTTGTATTTTAATTGCATTTTAAAAAATGGATTGTAAGCCACTTTGATGCCTCTTCTTAGGAGAAAAGTAGGCTATAAAGCAAACAAACAAATAAGCAAACAAACCACACTATTTCAAGGCATCCCTCAGCCAATGCTCTCATTTCCCTATAGCTGATCATTTTATGTTCCCAACCACACTTACTTTTTTATCCTAAATGCACAAAGCATTCAATCATTTTAAATCCAGCTGTGGTTTATTTATTTGCAGTTGTGGGGTTGCAGCTGCAATTTTTTTTTTAAAAAAAAAAAAGCATTCTCAGCTTCCTCATAGGAAATGAGATTTCCCTTCTATGCTTCAAAAAAAAGAAAAAGAAAAAGAACCCTCTCCCATGAAAGTAAATTTAATTGTCTGTTGAAATAATTAGTCACTTGGTGACTAGTCCTTCCTCATGCCAACTTTCAACATTCAGGTGTCAAAGAAGTTCATCTACGAGGCAAACGTCTTACACTCCTGTTGACTTAAGTAGCCAGAACTATTTTCTTACATTTTCTCCTTAATATCCTTAAGACTTTGCAGCTGAACATTTACAGAAAGGGTTTATTTGGGGACTGGCGGGTGAGTGGGGAGGAGGAGAAGCCAAGGTCAAGAGTAAAGCACAAGTCTAATTTAGCTCATGTAACTTTTAAGGGTACAACAGAAACAAAACCATTCTATGCCAAAGCATCTGCCATGTGTCCCCCTCCTGAAAGCCTCTTTGTACCAAAAAGCAAAGAAACCTACACTGTGTCCCTGCATCTACTCCCCGTCTCCAGTGGGCTTTGCACTAAGGCAGCCAAATCGTGTTTAATAACTTGTGGTTAGCTGTCATGAACATTTAATTTGACGCTAAACATGCTTCCTGAAAAGGAAAGTAAGAGATGTGCCAGTGTGCATATATGTTTCTGTGTATGTTTTCAAGAGTAAAAAAACTGCCCCAATACACATACACACATATACAAACACACACAATTTCCATGAGGCTTCCTGAAAAGAGAAACTAGTCTTTGGCTTCATCCAAAGTAGACAGGTTGACATTTGTCTCAGATTTCTCACAATTATTGAGGCTGATTACTTTGGATCTATGGCTCTAAATTCAATTTCTGTAGCCGAGGTAAATGAGAGGACAGATGAGGAGGGCTGTCTATCCCTCACCCTAACGCATACAGAAATGCTCTTGGAAAAACAGTCTCAAGAGGCCGGCTGAAATGAACTACAATCTTTTCCAGGCCTCCTCTTCCTCCCTCTCCAGTCCCAGACGCCCACCTCTTCTCACTTTCTTTCAGCTGGAACTCCCTCTTGTGTCACTTCCAAAGCATTTCTGTCCTGATATCCCTCTAGGGAATTCAGCAGAAATCCACAACTGCACATGCTTGCCATGTGTGCTGGCGACAGCAGTCTATGCCCAATCCAGACGTTTTAATTTGTCGCTCATGAGGCAGATGTGTTGGAGTGGGAGAGAGAATGAGAGAGACTAAGAAGAGACATGGAGGAGGAAACCCACACGACAGTCACTATGGGAGGTGACCATGCTCTTCCCTCTCATTGGGGAGATGGGATGTGAGGACGCTATCCATCCAAATACATTATTATCAATGAAGAACCAGGCCCAGCTC